GTCCCAGGCACAAACTCTCAGGGTCTGCTCTGAATACCAGTCGCACCTGCAGGATACCTGGACAACGTCCACCGCAGTGTCAGACTTCACAGCAGGGCCATGTGAGCGTGGTAGTGATGCCCTCAGGCAAGTGGGGGAAACCACAGCCTGCAGAATGAGGGGAGCTTCAGTCTGTGCGAAAGCCCTAGGGTAGATGGGGGTCATGGAGCCTGAGGGGACACACATCTAGCCAGGGACTTCTTCTGCAGGCCCCATGACCAAGTGCCAGCCCAGACCAGCTTTACCACTGTCTTATTGGACCCATCATTTCCCTCCCTGGACCTCCATGTCCTTGTCTATAAAGAGAAGGAGCTGGACCCCATAAGGAAGAGACTCACACACTTCCTCGTGCCACCCTTCACCCATGACCCCCAACCTCCACACAGCCACCCCAGCACCTGCTGCTGAGTCAGGGCCGGTGGGTTGGGCAGAAGTGAGACTGCGGCGGGGAGCCGCCAGTTTGCACAAGCCACGGCTTTCACTTCCTCTTCCTTCCTGGTGCTGTGTGCAGAGGAGGAAGCAAAAGGGGCAAGGAGATGGAGTCTGGGAGGCTTCTGTGGCCTTCCACCTGCATGCAGCTTCCTCGCCCCTGGCTCCCCTTCCCCCGAGGAGCCTGTGCTGCCCCAGATGGGCAAAGGACCCAGAGGCAGGCACCGGGCCTCTCCTCCCTCCCTCATGGCTCCAGTGAGTGCTGCCCCATGCCCATGCTGGGACTGCACCTGTTCTCTCCTGAGATCCTGGTATTCCAACCATTGACGCAACCCCTGGTGCAGCTCCTGCTGTCAGCGCCAGACACCTTACAGGTGCTCACCCAGTGGTTCAGGGGCAGGAGCCCCGACTGAGGCCAAGTTGAAGGCCAAGGAGCAAGGCTGTCCTCCCAGCGTCAGCCCTGGTTATTGCTGAATTTCTACCTGGGAGCAGGGACCTTCTCATTTTCTCGAGGAAACGGCCATGAGATTAGGCCTAGTGGTACCTAGGCTGACAGAAGCCCTGAGCAGGGCTCCAAGAAGGCCTCCCTGGAGGTGGGACTTAGTCCAGGAGTAGGCAGGTGGTCAGCATAGGCCTTGGGTGCCTACCTGCCCAGTGCTCTGCCCCAGAGGACACTGACCACTCACATCTTGCCCGTTCCTGCTATGCTGTCCGGATGTAGCAGTATTGGGTGGGAGGTTGTTGGGTTGCATCCTGAGACCAGGTAGCCAAGCTCTGACTTTCTCTCTGGCATCTGGGGAGAAACTGTGCCCAGAGCAGGCCTGAGTTCTGGGACCCATAGGTTTCCTGTCCCTCCTCCTCCCTTGCCTTTGTGCCTGGGCCTCCATTGTGTGCTCTCGCTCGCTCGCTCTCTCTCTCTCTCTCTCTCTCTCTCTCTCTCTCCCTCCCTTTCTCCCTCTCTATCTCCCCATCCCCCTCTCCCAGGCCCCTCCTCTTCCTGGTGTCTTCATTTCTTTTCTCTCTCTCTCCCCCTCCCCCTCTCCCCATCTCTTCCTCCTCTTCAGCATCCCTTCCCCCACTCCCAGCTCCTAGCACAATCATGGCCTGGCAGCTACTCCATTTATTCCCATCCCTGCCCTTAACATTTATTTACCTTCTTTCCATGCTGGGTACCCATGCAAGGTTCCCTGGTAGGAGGCCACACCACAGCCCCCTCCTTGGTGCCTAAGCTCAGAGCTTTCTATTGTGAGTCCTCAGTGCCCTGGGGTGGGGAGAAGCCTGAAAAGGGAGTGTCACAAGGGGAACCCCCCCAGGCAGATGGCGTGGGTGCATGGAGAGGGACCCTGACACACAGGTGCCACGCCTGGCCTCCAGGACAGAAAACAGAAAGGGTGTGGCCTGTGGGAAGGAAGCAGCTCCCAGCCTGGAAGAAGTAAACCCGGAAAACTGGTGAGGGGCAGGGAAGCAGAGACTGGGTCAGAGTCCCCGATCCCTCCTCTCCCCACCCCTCAGCTCAGATGACAGATGATGGCAACTGGTGACTGAACCTGTCCCAGGAACCTCCCAGGCAGGGCCTGTGCTCTGCCCAGGCAAGTCCTGCCCAGTGTGAAAGCAAGCATGGGCCTGGTTGATGGTGGGTTATCGGCAGTGGGCAGAAGGCTTCAGGGAGCGGAGAAGCAGAGATCGTGGACAGGCCTCTGGCCACTCCCAGAGACAGCAGGTGCAAGGAGCAGGCCTGAGAGTTGCCACTCTGCAGTGGGCCCAGGAGTAAGCCAGGCTTAGGTGGGGCCCGAGAGACCCAGTGCAGGCCGAGCTCAGCCCCCCCCCCACAACCATTGGCACTCTAGGTGTGAAGTAGGGGAGCACACTGTGCTACCCTTGTAACATACATGCATACCATGGGGGTGATTTGGGGCTCACCTGGTGGATGACAGGTTAACAGCCTTTGCTGTTAACACACCCCTAGGAGGTGCCCCTGTGCATGGCCAGTGAAGGTCAAGGTTACTCTCCCTGGAGTGACCCCACACATCCATGCCCCTGCTCCCGAAAGCAGATATTGATTGGCATTTTTGTTCTTGTGGTCTTTTTCTGACCTGTGGGTAGGGGGTGGAGCCTAGGACAGGCACCTGGGAAGAACCCCAGACTCCAGCTTCCCCATCTCCATCAGAGGGGGGCGTGGAAGCCTGCTTCATGCCCTTATTGAGGGCGGCACCTCCCACGGGCCTTGCCGTGGGGAAGTCCAGAAAAATTGCTGAGCGCATCACTGCCTAGACCCTAGCAGACATAAGGGCCTCTGGGTGCTGCGTCAGAGCCGGGGCGGGGACAAGGGCTGGCGTGGCTGTGCCAGGCTCAGCAGGTCAGACCTGGCCCTGCCACTCAGTTGACACCACCAGGCCCCAGCAGCAGCAAGCATCTGGCAGAGCTTGGATGGACCAGTTCTTGGTCCCTGATGGCTTAAAATCTTCATATCCCAAAAGCATTGCTAGAGTTGGGGCTCAAGAGTGGTACCATGCCCCCTACAAGACAGGCTGAGGCAGAGGGGACTGCACCTTCACTTAGGCTGCTGGGCCCCAGGAGCCAGGAGTCTTTGCACTCATCTAAAGTGGGTTGAAGGGCTGATGTAACTGCTCAGTCTCCCTTTTAAGTGACCAAGCCAGGACTTTCAAGCCGGGTCAGACAACCTGCAGGAAGGCTCCTGATCATGTCTGCATGCCAGTCCCAGGAGCTGGATATGGGGTGGGGGAAGCAGAATCAGCCCCCACGTCCTCCCAGACTTTCCAGATAGACCCCCTCGCAGGTGGCCAGCTCCGTGCTCCCTCCCACAAGAGCCCACTCTGGGTTTAGCAGTTTAATCCACAGTGTCCGCTCCAGGGAGGCCACATTCCTGTCTGGGGTATTTTTAGCCTCAGGAAAGGGAAGCTCAGCTGGGCGCTGGGGGAGGGCGGCACCAAGCGGGGCCATTTCCTGAGGAAGGGCCAGCCTCGGCCTGACCTAGGTCCCAGCCAGGGTCACAGCGGGAATGCCAGCCCCTTCCTCTGCCATGCTGGGTGCTAAGCCAGGGCCAGAGGACAGACTGAAGCTTCTGAGGCCCAGGAGGGGTTACCACGCGCCTGCAGTAAGGTGGAGGCCCCAGGAACGGAGGGACTTTGGGGACCCTCTGGGGATCCAGATGCAGCAGCAGGAATACAGCAGAGACAGACTGTATCTGGGCTGCCTGCTGTCCAACCCAGGAGGGAGGAGGCGCCGCAGCAGGTGTGCACCTGGGAGGGTGTGTACGCTGGGATGGAGCAGAGGAAATTACTCACTCTGCTCCAGGACTTTGTGAACCTGGGAGCTGGTTTGAGCAGTTAATGCAGACCCTGGTCTCCAAGGTAGTCAAGGTGCCTGTCTTACAGACCTATCTGATGTGGAAAGCCCACAAGTGAGCCTCAGATAAGCCATATGTGTCCTGGTCTAGAATCGTGTCTTTAAATATGTGACCTTTAGCTAAAGGAGGGACGCAGCGCCCAGCCGGGACAGAGATCCTGGGCTGATGGGCAGCAGCTGCATGTGAAAACGTCACCAACACCAACACCTGGTTTGTTTATGGGAGTTTCCATGGGCCTTGTCTTTTCCATTTATGAAGGGGTTCAAAAAGTTTGTGGAAAATGCACACTGTGAAAAACCTTGCATAAATTATTTTTTAACAACACCAAACTTACCTTTTCTTTCCACCCACATCACACCACCTACTTTTTTTATATATATATATTTACTTGAAAGACAGAGTTACGGGGGGGGGGGGGGAGAGGAGAGAGAGACTTTTCACCTACTGGTGTATTATCCAAATGGTCAGGGTTGCCAGAGCTGGGCCAGATTGAAGCCAGGAGCTTCCTCTGGGTTTCACGTGTGAGGTTAGGGACCTAAGCACTCGAGTTATCTTCTGCTGCTTTCCAAGCTGCAGTAGCAGGGAGGTGAAAAACAAGTGGTGCATCCAGGACTCGAACAGGTGCCCACATTGGGTGCTGGCGCTGCAGACAGCTGCTTCACCGGCTGTACCACAGTGCCGGCCCCCAGTAAATAAATCTTTATGTTTTAAAAAAAAAAAAAGATGACATCTGTCTAGCACGGCACCCATCATGCCGTCTCAGTCTGTGCAAAATTAATCACGTTGGCAGCCAGGCCCGCAGGGAAGTGTGGGAGGGCAGCACGCTGCAACCGAGCTGGGTGCTTCTGAAAGTCAGTTGCTAGCAGACTCCCGCCTTTAGTTGGAGTTGGGTTTTTGAGGAAGTCTGGAAAGACCTGAAGGACACGGTTTGAGGAAGACTGAAACTAGCAGGGGCGAGGCAGGGCTCAGGAAGGATGCTACAGGAGCTGGAGGTGATGTTTGGCTGCGCTGAGGTGATCCTCACGCCCCATAATTAATACCCTTGTTTCCAAGGCAGAAGCAGACAGACAGCAGGGCCGGGCACACCCCAGGCTGACTGCATCTGCGCTCTGCTGTCAGTGCAGCTCCGAGCCTGGGTACTCACAACCCCCTCTTCCTCCCACAGCCATGCCCTCCTAGCCAGCTGCCACGGGATGGAGGGCCTCATGGACTCAGGGACACAGACGGACGCCGTGGTGGTGCTGTCCTTGGCTCAGGCCGCCGTGCTGGGCCTGGTCTCGGAAAATGAGCTCTTCGGAGCCACGATAAGCGCCCAGGCCTTCTACCCAGACCTGGGCCCCGGGCTGCCAGGGACAACCCTCGGGGAACACGGGCCTCCTGGCCCAGACGTCTACCAGCTGGCCTGCAACGGGCGGGCCCTGGAGGAGCCTGCCGAGGAAGAGGTGCTGGAAGTCGAGGCGGCCTTTGAGAAGCACACCCGGCGGAAGACACGGCCTCCTGTGCGCCTGGTGCCCAAGGTCAAGTTCGAGAAGGTGGAAGAAGAGGAAGAACAGGAGGTGTATGAGGTATCCGTACCCAGTGACGACAAGGATGTGGGCCTGGCAGAGGCCCCGGCTGAGGCGGCAGGCAGTGGCGGCTGTGAGGCCTTGGTACAGAACAGCGCCGTGAAGATGATTGACCTCAGCGCCTTCAGCCGCAAGCCCCGGACGCTCCGCCACCTGACCCGGACGCCCAGGCCTGAGTTGGAGGTGGCCCCATATGAGCCTCATTTCCCCGAGCCCGGCGTGGCGTTGCCTGGACCAGAGGCCCTGCCTTCCGAGTGTGGCTTCGAGCCACCGCCGCCGCCGCCACCGCCACACCTGGCCTCCCTGGGTGACCCCGAGGCTCCTGCCGTGGCATCACCAGGGCCCCTGAAACCAGAGCAGGGCTTCGTGTGGCAGGAGGCGGGCGAGTTTGAGGCAGACGCGGCCGGCTCCACAGCCGAGCGCCACAAGAAGGCCCAGCTGGACCGGCTGGACATCAACGTGCAGATCGACGACTCGTACCTGGTGGAGGCAGGCGACCGCCAGAAGCGCTGGCAGTGCCGCATGTGCGAGAAGTCCTACACGTCCAAGTACAACCTGGTGACGCACATCCTGGGCCACAATGGCATCAAGCCCCACTCGTGCCCCCACTGCAGCAAGCTCTTCAAGCAGCCCAGCCACCTGCAGACGCACCTGCTGACGCACCAGGGCACGAGGCCGCACAAGTGCCAGGTGTGCCACAAGGCCTTCACGCAGACCAGCCACCTCAAGCGCCACATGCTGCTGCACTCGGAGGTCAAGCCCTACAGCTGCCACTTCTGCGGTCGCGGCTTCGCTTACCCCAGCGAGCTCAAGGCGCACGAAGTGAAGCACGAGAGTGGCCGCTGCCACGTGTGCGTCGAGTGTGGCCTGGACTTCTCCACCCTGACCCAGCTCAAGCGCCACCTGGCCTCCCACCAGGGCCCCACCCTCTACCAGTGCCTGGAGTGTGACAAGTCCTTCCACTACCGCAGCCAGCTGCAGAACCACATGCTCAAGCACCAGAACGTGCGGCCCTTCGTGTGCACCGAGTGCGGCATGGAGTTCAGCCAGATCCACCACCTCAAGCAGCACTCGCTCACCCACAAGGTGAGGCGGCCCCCACTACAGCCTGGCCCCGCCCCCCTCCCCACTGCCCGGCTGCTGTTCCCAAGCCCCAGATGAGGTCGTTTAGGGGGTAAACATATACCTCTATCATTTTATCATTGCATTTAAAAAAAAAAAGGTTTAGGTCTTTTTATTTGAAAGGCAGAGTTACAGAGAGGAAAGATAGAAAGGTCTTTCATCGGCTGGTTCACTCCCCAGGTGGCTCCAATGGCCAGTGCCTGGTAGATCCAAAGCCAGAAGCCAAGAACTCTTCAGGTCTCCCGGTGCAGAGTTCCAAGGCTTTGGATCATCCTCCTCTGCTCTCCCAGGCTTTGAGCAGGAAGCTGGATTGGAAATGGAGTAGCTGGGACTTGAACCAGCACCCCAGGCAGGAGAACTGCCAAGACCTGCTTTTGTCTAGGCAGAAGCTAGGATGCCCCAGGGCCATGGGCACAGTGCCCAGACATGCACAGGGCGACTTCCCTATAGTCAGAGGCTAGATGCGTTGCATTGTCAAAGGGAAATGAGCTCACCGAGGGACAATGGTTTTTGTCAATGGAAGACCAGGCATCACATCCCAGGACTTGACCATTGCCTATCCCCCTGCACATAATCCTACCCGCTTTACACCACTGGCTGCCATGCCCTTTGCCTAGTGTCACCTCCTCCAGGAAGTCCTCCCATCCTGGCAGGTGGAGTTAGATGCCTCTGCTGACCCTGTGCTGTTCTCGGGCTTCCCCCAGAATCCATCCAATCTGACCCTGAACATGTACAGGATTTCCCCTCCTCCATAGGGCTCATCCTCCCTCTGACTGTCACATCAGAGACCTTATTTCTCTCAGTGGACACTACCAGGAGTGCAGAACCAGCGGCTTAAGGATCCAGCCTTCTCCGGCTCGGACAACTTCTCTGCTGCACCAGGCATGGTGTGCAGAGGCCCCGTGGCCAGGGCTCCTCCAGCCGATTGGCAGACTATAGGGATGGTGGAAGAGTCTGATACCTATGTCTCTGGGCTCAGCAGTAATGGAGTGAGATCAATTGGTAATGTCTACCAGGAGCAAACAAAGGGGTTTCAGTACATATGCTGCCTGGGCAGCTGCCATTTTCCTCCTGCACTGCTGCATTGTTCAATGCCCTTAAGTCCAGAGTAGCCTGCATGGAAGCTGAAAGCAAAACTCAAAACCTAGGAACACCAAAGGCATCCGTGTTGCCAGCTCAAGGTATCCCAGGGGCACAGCATGGGCTTGTGAACTTGTGAGTGGCAGGGCCCCCCCTAGTGGCCACACTCCTCTGCGGCTTGTCATAGGCTGTGCCCCTCAAGGCACTGCCCTTTTTGCCATGAGTAAGGTTAGGGAAAGTGGGAAACCACTAGCACAGCAGCTGGGCCCACACACACCTCTCCTCCTGGGGCCCTCCTAAATTGCTTATGAGCAGAACACAGCTCCCTCGGGGACTCCCTGTGCACCCAGTTAAAGGCTGGTTTTCCCTGACCACCTCCCGGGGCATAGAGTGCCCAACCCACTAGGGACAGGAACCACTAGGCTGAGGCCTGAGTCCATCCCAGGCTGAGGCTCTGTGTCCCACACTGAGTGCAGCTGGCTCCTCTCCCCAGGGAAGGCTGGAGAGAGCCCTGTAACAGAGTCCATGAGTAATCGTCACTATCCCTGGGGTGGCCATGGCCTTTAGACCCCATGAGATGGCCATACTCCCCTACCCCCACCCCAGGCCACGGGTCCCCAGTATCCAGCGTGATGCTGACTTGTAGCAAGTGCCTGGGAAGTGTTTACTGAATGAATGAATGCAAGCACATTGACCTCAGTGCACCCCCACCCCAGTGGACAGGAGACAGCAGATGTGTGGCTAGCAACAGAACGACACTGTCAGTTCCTGAAGGGCTTTCTGGAATAAGAGCCTCCCTCCTCCACCACCCATGCTCCTATGGTTTTGAGCAAATGGGAACAGAATGCCCCAAGAGGAGGTGTTTCCCAGAGCTCGGGCCTGGATGAGGCCGTGGCTCTAACACCTGCCCTGACTCACTCCCACCCCCACCCACCCCCAACCCCACTGCACACAGGGTGTGAAGGAGTTCAAGTGCGAGGTGTGTGGCCGGGAGTTCACCCTGCAGGCCAACATGAAGCGGCACATGCTGATCCACACCAGCGTCCGGCCCTACCAGTGCCACATCTGCTTCAAGACCTTCGTGCAGAAGCAGACGCTCAAGACCCACATGATTGTACACTCGCCCGTGAAGCCATTCAAGTGCAAGGTAGGCAGGCACCGCCCAGTTTCGCCTGGGCTTTGCGGGGTTCAGAGCCCAGAACTGCTTCAGTTGGGCTGCTTGAGAGCTGCGGGTGTGAGGTGGTGGGGACGGTACATGGGGACCAAGGCGCAAAAGACTCAGGCCAGCGATCCCAAGCCTTGGAGATGTTACCAGCTCACTCAGCCTCCTGAAGTAGCCAGGAGCAATGGCTGTTTCTCTGCCTCTGGGGCCACATAGGAAAGAATGGGGAGTGGGGATCTGGCCCAGCCAGGGAGGTGGGAGCATGCTCCCCCCAGCTGATGTGCGCTGCCTCAATGTGTCCTAGGTGTGCGGGAAGTCCTTCAATCGCATGTACAACCTGTTGGGCCACATGCACCTGCATGCGGGCAGCAAGCCCTTCAAGTGCCCCTACTGCTCCAGCAAGTTCAACCTCAAGGGCAATCTGAGCCGGCACATGAAGGTCAAGCATGGCGTCATGGACATCGGCCTGGACAGCCAAGGTGTGTGGGTCGTGCACAGTAGACAGAAGGAAGGGAGCCATGCCAGTGATGGGTGTCAAGCACTACTCCACCCCGCCCCCCAACCCCTGGGTGGGCTCAGTTCTGGATAGCTGTCGTGGTGGAGGGGGTTTACATCAACAAAGGTAATGGCGGACGTGTGCTGGGTGCAGTGGCCAGGCCTTTATGATCTCCCCAGATCCTCACAGGGTGGCTGTATGACCATGCCTGATTCACACAGATGCAGCCACTGGACGGCAGAGCAGGCAGGGACCGCGCACACATGATCACAGCACGGTGAGATCATGGGAAAGACACACGCAAGGGGGGGCGAGGTGGGGATGGAAGCTGATAAGATACAGGAAAGCTCACAACTCCAGGGCCTGTGGCTATGCAGAAGGGAGCTCTGAGCTTCCCCGTGGCCAGAAAAGTGTCTGCCAAGGAGACTAACCCACACCCTCAGCAGAGGGCCAGCTGGTCCCACCATTAAGACCTGAGAGAAATTTGCCAACAACATCCCACTCCAACCTGAAGCTGTTGGCTATAAATCATCCCTAAGTCTCAGCAATAGCTGTTCCCTTAACCAACACCTCATGGACAACAGTTCTGGGCTCCCACAGAGCATTGGGGCTAGCCAGTCTCCACACAGGCAGAGGGTCCTTGCACGGGGAAGGAGGAGCCAACTTGGAACTTCTCCTGGCCCTCCTGAGACTAACTAACCAGGACTATGTCTCGGGCACCAGCAGAGATGACCGCTGTGTGGGTTGATCCCCTGGAAAGCAGCCAAGTGTGACAGGATGGTCATGGCTGGGCTGGGGCGGGGAGCGGGGAAGGTGCTGGGGAGCCAGCCTTGGGCTGAGGGCCCCTAACCAGCAACTGGCCTGGGGTAAAAGCAGGTGTCTCTGTTCTGAGGTTCAGTTGTCTGTCTCGGCTCCTGCCTGGGATGTTGCCTGGGGTGCCGGCTGCTTTCCAGGGAAAGTGAGTAGGGGTATTGTGTGGCCTGACACCAGCCACCCAAGGACAAGGGCAGCTCCCACACATTGGCCAAAGTACAGGCTCCCAACCCCAGCTGGACCCTGCCGACCAGAATCTGCTGCCCTGAGGTGTCTCACGCCAACTGAAGTAGGGCTTCCAGCTGGGGTAGGGTAAGGAGTATAGTGGGTCGCTTGCTAAACCAACTGAAGAGCCCTCCCCGGGAGCTTGGGATTCAGCAGGCCTCGGTGGGGGAAATCAGAATTGGCCTCACCCAGAGATCCTTTCCCCCCAAGCTTTTTTCAGGCATTCTGCTTAGCAGGAATCACCTAAAGGCTTATTTTAATACTGTAATGCTGATGCTGGACCCTAGAGATGTGAATGGAATTGACCCGGAAGTGGGCAGGCCCATCTGACTCCACCTAAGAGCTTTGCACGGTTCCATGTATCATGTTTGAGAGCCACCCCACTGGAGACCTACCCCAGGAAGTGGCTCTGCTATTTCCAGGAAGCTGGAACCAGAATGCTCGGAGCTTCTCCTGCCAGGTGACAGCCAACAGCTGTGCCCAGTTCCAATGGCCAGGGCTCCTATCTGGTTACCTTTCGGAGACCCAGGCTCACTTACATGTTCCAAGTGGAACCACCTAGAAAACCACGGGGCTGTGGTGTGGAGAGCTGGATACTGGTCCTTCTAAAAGGCAGTACAGACCACCCCTGGGGCCGGCTGGACAGGACGGCAGACTCAGCACCATGGGGACATGCAGAGATCTGGATGTGCGAGGCAAGGCTGTGGCCTGAGGACTGGAATGGGAAGCCCTGCTTTATGATGTGTGGGCTGTGACGCCTCCAGTGAGGCTGAAGTAAAACAGAAGCAGGTTATAAATTAGCCTGAAGTCCACATGTCCTTTAGGAGTGGGCTCATTTGGCTCTGCTGCTCATGCATGGCACTGGCTGTGATTTTCCTCATGGCCACAAGATGGCTGCCAGGCACCGTGGAGACCATGTGCCTCCTTGTTCACATCTTAGAGGACAGAAGCCTGTGCTCCATAACTGTTTGAATCCAAGAGGAATATCCCAAGAACTTGCTAGCAGGCCTTCCCTCATACCTCCGTGGTTACCTGCCTGTTGTGGGCAAGAGATGGGATTACCCTCAGCCAGTGATCCCAGCAGGGAAGTGAGTTTGCCACTGGCTAACATTCCAGCAGGACTACAGGCATCTGGTTTTTTTTTGTTTGTTTTTAAATAATAGCTAAGTTTTATTTTTATTTCTAACAATTGACTTATTTATTTGAAAGGCAGAGCAACAGAGAAAGGGGAAGACAAAGAGATCTTCCACTACTGACTCCCCAAATGCTCACAGCAGTTAGAGCTGGGCCAAGCCAAACCCAGGAGCCTGCAGCAACTCCATCAGGCCTCTCCATGTGGGTGTAAGGGCCCAAGCCCTTGGGCCATCCAGTGCTTTCCCAGGTGCCTTAGCAGGGAGCACCCGGGAGCACTTGAACCGGTGCTCCAGCATGAGATGCCGGCATTACAAGTGTGGCTTAACCAGTTTGGGTTGTCAACACTGGTTGGACACTACTGGCACCCAGTGGGCAAGGCCAGCAGGGTAAGGAACATGGCCAATGCCCAGGATGTCCTGACAGGGAAGAAGGAAGCAAGACTGGGGTACACTCACACTGAGTGCCGCCTTGCATTTATCAGGGCTCCCTCCTCCTCAGGGTCCATGGCAGGACACCCCTTTGTGGGTGAGCCCTGGTCCTTGCCAGCCAGCCTGCTAGGCTCCCCAGCTTCGGTGGCACACTTCCACCTTGGGTGCTGTTTACCTAGGTAGGGGTGTCAGTCCTTGGGGAGCCACCCCGAGGGTACCACCGCTGCCACTATCCCGTGTGGAGATAACTGGCCCTCCTCATGAGGCCTCACTGCACCCCTCTCTTACAGACCCCATGATGGAGTTGGCGGGCCCTGAACCCTCAGAGCTGGATGGCCAGCAGGAGCTGGAGGACTTCGAGGACAGCACATATACCTATGCGGGTGTGGATGGCAGCGCCGAGGCCAGCGTCCTCACGGAGCAGGCCATGAAAGAAATGGCCTACTACAATGTGCTATAGCGAGCAGGAGCGGGGCTGGGGGTTGATGAGACCCCTAGGCTGCGGCCAGCCCGACCCCCCACAGCTGAGAAGCTACTGCCCCACTGGCCCCAGCTTACCCCCACCCCAGGTGTTTGCACCATTAGGGACCACTAGACCAAATGCAAACTGTACTACCAGCCTGGCCCCAGGCAGGCACAGGTCCCAGGCGTGCTGGCTGGCAGAGAAAGGGTAGCACAGGAGGCCTGGAGAAAGAGGGGGCACAAAGAGCTCTCCAGGGACAGCTGACCAACCCCCACCCCAAGGCAGGGCCCTCTGCCTTCTACCTCCTGGGGCTCCCTTGTGCTGCGGCCAGGGCCAGCTCTGCCCCTGTCCCCACCTGTATGGAAGGGGCCTTCCATAACTCCAGCAAGCATCACCCAGGCCTGTCCTCTGATCTGGCCCACATCACGGTCCCTCGCTGCCCCACCCACAGCAATGACCTAGGAAAACACACAGATGGAGGGGTGAGGGGGTTACAGGGCAGGCGGAGGGGGGGTGCCAAGGACCACCTGTTGGGGAGGGGCAGAGTCATTCTGATGGACAAGGACACATCTGAAGGCAGGGAGGCAGCTCCCAGCCGAGAGCAACAGAGTGCAAAGGAAGATGAAGACCGCGCGGGAAACAAATCTTTGCAAGCAATCGGGGGTGTTTCAAAGGTAATTTATTATTATTATTTTTTTTTCTTTACAACTCCATGTGGCCCGTTACCTGGTTGGATGGAGATGCGCTCCTTCTCCCAGACATGAGCTTTCTTGTGTGCCGTGCGTGCCCCTGCCTCTCCACCATACAGCCAGCCTGGGCTCCACCGAGACCCCAAGCTAGCCCCATACCAACGGCCTCAGCTCTGCCCTGCCTCCCTGCCCTTGCTGGCTCAGACTGGAGCCATGGGCCTGGGGCAGGCAAACAGCATATTCAGGACCTCCAGGGCCGACCCCCAAGGCACCAGAAACCAGGTGGGGCAGACAGCCGGCATAGGGATTGGGGGTAGGGACCACTTCACAGAGCGGCTGCTCCACGGCTGCCTCCCTCAGCGAAGGACCAAGCTAGGCCTCAGGGTGACGGGATCAGGAGTGAGGAGCAGCCACGGTGGCCTCCCAGGTGCCCGCCAGCCTGAGCCTCAGGTGGCAGCAAGCATTCTCCTGCTGAGCAGCAGGCACCGACCCTGCAAACTACCTCTTCCCACGACGTCCTTCCCCCGGTACCAAAAAGACCCCCCCGTCCCTCCTCCTCCTCTTCCTCCCCCCTCCTGGCGCCTGCCAGCGCAGTGGCCTTGGTCTTGGACAGGAGAAGGGCTGGGGTCTCCACCCTCTGTGAGGAAGGCACCATACTTGAACGTCTCCTGCTCGGGGCCAAGCTAAGAGGGGCTCATGCGGGAACCCCCCCTACCCCCACCGCCCATCCAATGGGGCAGCCTCGGCAAGGCTCCTGCCCTCCCCCTCCCCCATTTAACCCCCTCAGAAAACTTGGGTGACCTGGCAGCCCCTGGCAGAGCCCACTCTAACTTATTTTGCCGTGTGTACAAACGGCCTGTTTAGACACTCAATGTGTGCAGAGCCCTACTGTGTTTCTATGTTCCTGTTTCACAGAGTTTACTTAGCAATAATTATAAATAAATGGATATTCTTTAGCAAGGTGACTGCATATGGTTCATTCCACGGCCCTTGGGGACCAACCAGGCCCCAGGGCTGGGAGGGGTGGGACTATCCTCTACCCCAGAATGGGCACCTGCGGGGCCAGGCACCCACAGCCAGCAGCCCCAAGCCCGGGAGACCAAGAGGGAGGGATGGGAGATCAAGAAGGCAGAATCACTACCACATGCTCTTTCTCTCCCCCACCCCTACACACACACACACACACACACACACCCACCCACCCCCCTGCAAGGCCACAGCCTGGAAACCAGGCCTAAGCAACAGGCACCATGTTGGGGGTGGGGGCAGCACCAACACTGCACCCTTCACCTGGCTTACCCCAGGCATCCAGACCCCTGCCACCCACATGGCCCAGCAATTTGGGAAGTAAACCAGCAAATGGGAGTGCTGCTTCACTCTCTGCCTTTTAAATAAAGTCAAAGCTTGGAAAAGAAGACAGCTGCAGCCCTGGGCATCCTGGCAGAAGCTGGCCTGACCCAGCCAGGAGCCCTCCAGAACAGGGGCTGACTGGGGTGGGGGCGGGGATGGGGCAGCAGTAGCTTTCTAGCTGCTGGGTTCCAGGAGCCAACCAATTAAGAGTCCCATGGAAATGGGAGGACTTTAAATAGGTCATGGGGAAAACAGAATTCAAAAGGAAGTTTTTTCTTCTGCAAAAACATTTGGAAATCTGAGCATGTTTTCCTAGTACATGTTTTTCCATGAACTGTTTGCAGCCCCCTTCTATTTATGATGTCGGTAGTCATCACCTCAGAAACCACCATCTGTGGCGGCTCAAGTCTTGCACCTAAAATAGTGAAGTAATTTGCAAGGGGACTTTTTAAAAGTTCACAGACAGGGGGTGGTGTTTTGGTATAGAAGGTTAAACCACTGCCTGCAACACCGGCATCCCAAATGGGCCCCAGTTTCGATTCCCAGTTGTTCCACTTCCCATCCAGGTCCCTGCTAATGTCACTGGAAAGGCAGCAGTAGATGGTTGTGTGACTATGGGAGACCCAGATGAAGTTCCAGGCTCCGAGCTTTGGCCTGGCTCAACCCTAGCTGCTGTGGCCATCTGGGCGGTGAACTAGCAGATGGAAGCACTCCCCATGCCTCTAACTGCCTTTCTTTTTTTTTTTTTTTACAATTTTTTTTTTTTAATTGGAAAGGTGAATACACAGAGAGGAGGAGAGACAAACAGGAGGAAGATCTTCCATCTGATGGTTTACTCCCAAAGTGGCTGCAACAGCTGGAGCTGCACCAATCTGAAGCCAGGAGCCAGGAACTTCTGGGTCTCCCACACAGATGCAGAGTCCCAAAGTTTTGGGCCGTCCTCGACTGCTTTCCCAGGCCACAAGCAGGGAGCTGGATGGGAAGTGGGACTTCTGGAAATAGAACCAGCGCCTATATGGGATCCCGGCGCATTCATGGCGAGGACTTTAACCGCTACACTATTGGGCCAGGCCCCTAATCCTGCCTTTCAAAAAAAACAATTTTTTAAAATTTTCATAGATAAATGAAACCACAAGATAAGCTTATTTTGGTGTTAAAAAAATACTTGAACTTGGGCCCAGCATGATAGCATAGTAGTTAAAGTCCTCACCTTACACGTGCCGGGATCCCATATGGGTGCCAGTTCTAATCCCAGCAGCCCTGTTTCCCATCCAGCTCCCTGCTTGTGGCCTGGGAAAACAGTAGAGGACGGCCCAAAGCTTTAGGACCCTGCAGCCGTGTGGAAGACCCGGAAGAGCTCCTGGTTCCTGGCTTCATATCAACACAGCACCAGCTGTTGCGCCCACTTGGGGAGTGAATCACCAGATGGAAGACCTTCCTCTCTGTCTCTCCTCCTCTCTGTATATCTGCCTTTCCAATAAATAAATAAATAAATTTAAAGGGAAAAAAAATACTTGAACTCCATGCAGTTTTTTTCATGAGCCTGCTGCATGGATTTAAAAAAATTCTTTTTACACTGGGATAAACTTACCTTTTAATTCCACTTCCCACAGGCTTTTTGGAGGATCCCTGCATCACCTACACCCAGTTTCTCATGTGCATCAAATCATCTGTAAACTCCAATAAGTATTACATAAACAGCTACCATTTAAGGGAGAGTCCTATACATGCCAAGCACAGATATATGCGGAGTTGTTTTATTTGAAAGAGAGATGGCAGGGGGAGCACATTTTGGTTCATTCCTCAAATGTCCAAAACAGCCTGGATTAGGCCAGGCCAAAGGCAGGAGCCAGGAACTTCGCTGGGCTCTTGCACATGGGTGGCTGGGGCCTGAGTCCGTGAGCCACCACCTGCTGCCTTGCACAGTATGCACCAGCAGGTAACTGGAAGGGGAAGTGGAGCCCATACCCAAACAGCCACTTGCATGTGGGATGGAAATGTCCCAGGTGGCGTCTCAACTGCTGTGCTAAAGGCCTGCTCCATCCACAGCTAAGCTTTCTGACATTCTTACTCTTGAGTTGGCTGAATCCGAAGGGGTAAAACCTGCAGATACAGAGGGCTAATACCTACCAAGTAAAGACAGCCAGGGCAGGTGTTTGGTATCACCGGGGATGCCGATGTGTCATGTCCCAGGGCCTGGGTTGGAATCCAGCTCTGCTTCTGACCCAGCCTCCTGTTATATGCCCCTGGAGAGGTGGTGGTGCTGGCTTACCCTGCTGCCCACCAGGGAAACCTAGATTGAGTCCTGGGCTCCTGGCTTTGCTCTGGCCCAGCCCTGGCTGCTGCACATTTGAGGAATGAACCTCAGATCCTCCATGTCACCATTCTTTGTCTTTCAAATAAGTAAAAAAGAAAAGAAAAATGTGTAAAGTTTACTGGGAAGTGAGCCAGAAGATGGAAGATCTCTTTGCCTCTCTAACTCTGCCTTCCAAAAAAAATAAAGTTTTTGAAAGATTATGCAGCTCTTCCTCCAGGACACTGGAAATCAACAACTAGAAACATAATCCCAGAGTGTGGTGCCGCTGTCTGTAGTTCGACTCTCCATGACCTTTTCTGATAATTGCCTGCATGTAGTGCAGTGGGCCCCCATCTGGGAACCACCTGCTGAAGGTACAAGGAGACCCCATTCTCACACTCTCACATACATGTCCCATAGGACCCACCGAGGCAGCCATGGGGAAGGAGGCAGGAGCACAGGGCATGCCAAGAAAGGCCTGGACGTTTAGGGTAAAATCAACAAAAACAAAACAACAGTCCAGTAAACAAGCAGACCAGAGGGAATGGTGCCATCATGCCAGGGTGCCACCCCGTCTGTGCCCACAGCAGCCACCCCTTCCCAGCAGGGACAAACACAGCAGACGGCTTTGTGAACAATGTTTTAGTAGCTAAATATGGCACCGGGCGTCCCCAAGGTGGTATAAATTACAGTGTGCCAAACACACTAGCTGGCCGAGGTAACACGCTGCTGCTGTTCCTGGCCCAGGAAGGGAGACACTCCCCTAGATAGACACGTCCCCCTGACAGGTTTACAGAGGGGGCCCTGGAGTGGGCCTCTGACCCGTCACCCTCTCTGACCCCAGGGCACCCCAGGCACCGAGCGTAGCTGGCTGGCCAGCCCACCCCTACTGCTTGCCCAGGGCTCTGTCCAGGTTGCTCTTAATGGTGTCCAGGAAGTCTGTGGTATTCAAGAAGTGCTCATTAAGCTTCACGCTGCAAGAGAAGGCACACAGGTCAGGACACGACCCAGCTACCCGACCACAGAGGACCCGGCAAGGCAGAGCAAAGGACACAGGTGCAGCTGGGGTGGGGTCCTCTCACTGGGCCAGAGCCACCCAGCCCAGCCTTCTGACTCATGGGTGTGGGACACAGGAGAGCACCTCTATTCGCAGTCCCCCAGCCCTGCCCTTGTTCCCCGAGCCACATACTTGCTGAGGCCATGGATGCAACCCGCCAGGTCCTTGGTCATGGCGCCACTCTCCACCGTCTCTACGCACACCTTCTCCAGGGTCTGGGCAAATCTGCAGGGGATGGATGGATGGATGGATGGATGGATGCAGTGAGATCCTACCCCCAACTCCCTCCCCAACCCTGGGGCGGGATCACACCCATCAGAACCCTGGCCATCCAGGTCCCACCCTCCGCACACACCTGATGAGGTCCTGGTTGCTGTCCAGTTTGCCCCGGTGCTCCAGACCCCGCGTCCAGGCAAAGATGCTGGCAATGGGGTTGGTACTGGTTGGCCGGCCCTGTGGGTAGGGTCCCAGGAAACAAGGAACTTGAGGGTCTGGCCCTGTGGGAATGTGAGGGGCTGCCTCCACCCCTGCATGGGCAACAGGCTCATCCCTGCTGGCACAACCAGCCAGCTGAGGGCCTTGGGCAGAGACACACAGTGTACCTTCTGGTGCTCCCGGTAGTGGCGGGTGACTGTGCCGTGGGCAGCCTCAGCCTCGATGGTCTTCCCATCTGGACAAACTAGCACAGACGTCATCAGGCCGAGCGACCCAAAGCCTAGAGAGCAGAAGACCCTCACCTCAGCCCAAGCCGCACCCACCTGGTCATGGGTCTCCAGAGGCCAGCACCTGAACATACCAGACTACCCGGTATCCCGTCTCCAGGCACCATGCCCCCTGTGCCATCTCCCCAACCAGCCTGGCCAGTGACTGGAGTTCATGCAAATAGAAAACGCTACTACCCACCATGTCTCCAGCACTCTACCTGCTGCTGTTAGCGGCTGCCTGGAAGCAGTGTGATTTATTCTCTCCTTAATAAACCAATTCTCCCAGATCCCATCCAGGCAGCTTAAGCCACTTGTCCCACAGTTGAGGACCCAGGGCTCACAAGGAGGTGCCCCCTTCATTCCCTTAAGGCCCTGCCTCCTGCCCTTCCACACCCCATCATCCCTCTCACCCATTGTGCTCCTCAGCCATGCTCCCTGCAGGGACGCTGCACTTTTGCTAATTTGTCTTTATTATTATTTTTAAATGTTCTCTATTTGAGACAGAGAGCTCCCATCTGCTGGTTCACCCCAAATGTCCCTAAGGGCCTG